CTCACCGCCACAGCCCGGGAAACATCTTCCGTCTCCAACACGAACAGCAAACGTCCTCTCGGTGCGCAGAAACGTCCAGAAACGCGTTGACTTTGGACTCAGTCAAGTTTAACAGGTGTATAAACGTGCTGAAGAGCCCCAGACTGGCGAAAACTCTGTCAGACCGATTATACTGACGCAGCATTATATTATATTAGCATTACAACACTGATATCATAGGATATTGATGACACTGACGCAAACGCACACTTTACCACTCCTTTGACGCCGATATCTACGTCCGTGAAGAACAAACTGCTGCTCTAGACGACATTATATTTAAAAAACACGAAGTGAGTGATTGAAACGTGTTCAAACCGCGGTTGACCTGTGGCTTCAGCTCGGCGACGCAGAGACACGGCGTCCATGAAGGCGGGAAAGAAGAAAGCTTGTATATTCTAATAAAAAGCTGACTAAAACCAATTATTAATGATAAAATAAGGTCAAACTCGGGAAACCGCGGCGGGGCAGGAGCCCTCACGGCGGGAAAGGCGGGAAGCGCGACCGTTAGTAATTCAAACTTCAAACGAGATGCGCACCTGCCCCGAGTTCTCGCAGGGACCGCCCCCCTGTCCCCTCTCAGCCAATGGGTTTCCACCACGGTGGAGTGACGTCCTGCCTCAGCCCTCTCCTCCAATGGGCTTAAGGGACACTCGAGTGACGCTTTCGGGAGCCCTCCTCCCCGAGTGGGGCTCTTATAAGACCTCTGAGTGACTGACCCAGGGTTCACAAGCTGCCCAGGAGGCTGTACTGTACACAGAGAGGGGTGGGAGGGGGGAACAAGCCCATACCCTGGCTCCTCTGTGGGTGTCATTCCCAGTGTGGCCCAGCAGCGGGGTGAAGGGCTGAAGGTGACGGCCCATATCCCCCCTCAGAAAAATGACACCTGACTCCCCCGTCTCTGGCCACCTACTGTGTGTGCTTTCAGGAACAGTGACCCAGTTCTGACCCGGTTTAAATCTGGCCGATCTACCTCTTCGCTCCCAAGCAGGACAGCAGGACCGTCAGGGTGCGGAGCTGCGGATCTCGAACCGTCAGGAAGGATAGCATTTCACACAGACACCAGCGCCAGCAACCCCCCCCGCCAGCAGGAACACGCAGACTCCACACACACAGACGCCACACACATATATATATACAAAGAATAGCAAAATACAAACATGATCAAAATAGAACATTATTTAAAATTAGTTTTCTTCACATGGGACACTAAGGGCAGGTTTTCAGTGAGTCGGATCTCTTACGAGGAAGAGATCAGTGTTTCAGTGTAGAGTCCTCACTCTGTGTCCAGGAAGTATCCGATCTTCCTCTCCCGCTGGGAAAGACTGTGTGGATCAGTGACTGACCTGCGGCAGTGTCTCTGTGTCTCTCTGTCACTCCGATAACACTGCCTGAGCTCCTCCTCTCCCTCTCCTGCTCCTGTCTCAGTGTCTTCAGCTCTCTCTCAGCTCCTCGATCTCCTGTCTGTGGGCTGTGTGTGTCTGCTCATTGTGTCTGCGGGCTGTGTGTGCTCTTGTGTGTCTGCGCAGGCTGTGTGTGCTCTTGTGTGTCTGAGGGTTATGTATTCTTGAGTGCCTTCAGGTTGTGAGTGACTACGTTGTGACTACTGTGTGTTCTCTTGTGTGTCTGCGGGCTGTGTGCGCTCTTGTGTGTCTGCGGGCTGTGTGCGCCCTTGTGTGTCTGAGGGTTGTGTGCGCTCTTGTGTGTCTGCGGGCTGTGTGCGCTCTTCTGTCTGAGTCTGTGCTGCTCTGGGTTCTCCTCCCAGTAAAGCTCCTATCTGAGCTCCTACTGCAGCTCCTATCACTGTTCCTGCTGCTGCTCCTGTTGCGCCCCTCAGGGCTCCTGCTAGGGCCCCTATTGCTGCCCCCAGTCCGGCTCCCAGCAGCACCAGTCTCAGCTCAGAGGGGCGGGG